ATAGTATCAACGGCAATTGCAGTGTATTTAAATTTTATAGTAAGAATAAAATCACAATCGGCTTCTAATTGTAGGCAATCGCATTACTGGCCTGACGTCACTACGAGTCTGAGCCGATTTAGCTTGTCCTCAAGAAAGCTTCAAATCCCTCGAAACTTAAATTTGATCTTTCTTATTACTTTTCGGATCCTCGATCATCAAGATGTAGCACATATTTGAATTTGTCTATCAAATGTTGTAACAAATACCTCACAAATAGGGTCATAGTCCGATCGCATAGCGTGCGATGGGTTTAACTCATCCGTCATAAATCTTCCTTTCCCGAATGCTCTTAAAGCTAAGGCAAGCTCAAGAAATGTCCAAGTGGGCCAGCGAGTTACCCTTGGTGGTGGCACCTTGTCCGTCTTAAGCGAATACTACTTGAGAGCAGATAAAAGCTTCCCGACGTTATCCAACACTCTAAGAAAAAAGGGTGCAAAAAAGGGTGCAAAATAAGAGTTTGCACCCTTTACATAAAAATGAACCCTATTGAAGGAAAAGGGGTTAAAAAAAAGGGCGCAATATAAGATTTTGCACCCTTCCCACAAAAATGAATCCTAACAACCCAAAAAGGTGCAAAATAATTGTTTGCATATCGCATGCATATTCATGATTACTTTCCACGTGTTCACATAAAAATATATTTATCATATGATTTGTTAAGCAAATTATGACAATGCACATCAATTATGTGATTTTTATTTTCCTTCGGCAATCATTAACCAATAGATTATTTTGTCTGATCATGTTACAATTACATTCACGTTTTAGCAATATATATATTGATTATATTTTTACTAACCAAGAAACATCATGCATGTTTAATATGTATATGTGTACGAGCAAATGTCACGAGTATTCCTCGATGATGGGTGCAGGATTGCACCTTTTAAAGGGTGCAGGATTGAACCCCTTAAGGTGCTGCTATTGCATCGGTTTGCACCCCTAAAGGAGCAGGATTGAACCATTACGGGTACTAACATGTCTCCTAAAAAGTGCATTCTGGCACCCTCTTAAAGGGTGCAGGATTTAACACCTAAAGGTGCTGCTATTGTTGCATCGGTTTGCACCCCTAAAGGTGCAGGATTGAACCATAAAGGGTACTAACATTTCCCCCAAAAGGTTCAATCTGGCACCCTTTCGAAGGGTGCAGGATTGCACCTTTAAAAAGGGTGCAGGATTTAACCCCTAAAGGTGCTGCTATTGTTGCATCGGTTTGAACCCCTAAAGGTGCATAGTTGCACCATTTTTTCTTAGTGTGAATAGTGGGCCCCTTGTGTGGTGGTAGGGTTTCATTAATTTAGGATTTCAACTAATACGGTGATAATTTGATCACATTCCGTCAAGCGCGTATCCAAAGATTAATTATATTTCATCGGCAATTACCGAAAGGTCACCCTTAAGGATTAATTATTTTCTTTTCCCTCAATTGGGAATTCTCGTTTGGGTTACGAGATGTTGCGGGACAGGCCGGCCTTCATCTGTTAGAATATGAATATTTTAAGTGATTAAATCTCACCATAGACATTCATGCTCAAGCACTACAGGAAATTATTGCTAAAAGTAACTCATGTGTACCTATAACAGGTATTTCATTAACAAGTAAAAAATCAACATACCTGTTTTTTCATAATCATGATAACTAATAATTATAAGATTCGTACCAATCCCAATTACAAATGCCCTCTTTTTTCTCTATGTTATCCATGTGTTGTTGTTGTTTTGTAGTTATTGCTCGTTTGTTTTTATTAATACATATTTTTGTTTGTGGACTGGTAGATTTCCAGATTACATTTAAGAAAAATATATTGAAAGGACAACCTTGCCTTGCAAATAAGTAGGAAATATAAGAAAGTTTGTTAAAAGGTCAGTTAGGATTTTTTTTTTTTTTTCAGCGTCGCTGAACCTCGATGCGGAACTTGGTTGCACTCCCCCTGTCCTCGGCGAGGGACTTGGCGTGGAAGATGGTCGGATACCAGACTCTAGTCTGACCTCGTCATCGATCTATTTTTCCAGCCATGAAGCTTACAGAGGAAGGCTGAATGAAGTTGCCGTTCCAAAGGAGTCCGATGGATGGGTATCCGCCGGTGCATGGATCGCCGCCGTTGGAGACAACAATATGTGGATAAAGGTAATTAAAGTATACCCATATCAAGAATAAATTATGTACAGCTAGAATGTACGAATATCAACCTTCTCTTCGTGTTAAGCTGCATAGCCCTTTGAAGATTACCAGAAGAAAAATATGTAAAAGGGTTTGCCTGGCTTTAAATGGGCCAACTGATTAGAGGTATGAATAAAATAGAGAATAACATAATAAAATATGATTTATTTCATGTGTATACATGAACCTCCGCCATGTTTGTTTAGACATTTGAGCACGTTTCCAACGCGCCTGAGGGTCATGTACTATTCTTTTTTTGTTCGATGCTTTCTATATTCGTATAGACTCTTCGACTAACAAAAACCAAAAAACGAGGATCAGCTTCAAGCATGCGCATTATAATATTGAGTGAGGTTATCTCCGCTTGTATTCATCATTTGGATAATAACAACGCGGAAGTACTGATGAATCAGCGTCCATCATTTTAATGAGAACCCAAGCTTGAAACTGTTGAGCGATCGTGACAATGGAGTTATCTTTGGGATGGTTGTTGTAAACGTTTGTGTCATGTTTGATCTCAATCAAGACCTATCATTGTCAGAATCGGGCAGGGGACTTATGCATTCACCGGAAGAAATCTTTAAAAGAATGTATCGTCTAAACTTAACTGTTTAATCAGTCCATGGTGAATCAAGCTTAAATTTAAAAACAAAACAACCAGAAAAAATGAAAACATTCGAAAGGAGTATATAATATATTAGTCAGGTGATCTACTCCATGTGCACACATCCATGTGAAACACACGATCAGCCACTAGTAATACATTTACCGTCCCTCGAACCCTTACACTGGTAGATGATAGATATTTCAGTTCTCGCCCCAATAAACTGAAACAAAGAAAATGCAATAAACTATCAATAATTCATTGCATTTTGCCCAGATCCCCAACAGATAACAATACTCTGTGTGGCAAAGCCCTTAATCATAATGCATGGCCCTACAGAAGAATTTATCCTGTTGGGGATCGGGAGAAAATGCAATGAATTATTGATAATTCATAGCCATTTCTTTTTAAATATTTGTGGTGGCGGCCCCGTACCCTAATCCCCGCTACGTACAGTCATGATTCAGTGGCTAAGCAATGGCCTCGTTACTATGAGGCCACATAATCACAATAGTGTCGATCAACTTTATTACTGCCCTTTTGTGAGGCATTAATCCTCATTACTGTCAGTTATGAATTAAGAACGTAGGTCCCCTAGTTGATTAGCATAGTAGCACACACATGCTTTAGCAGTCACGCAAACCAAACACTCGCAAATTATTATTCAATACAATCTGAGAATTTATACTATTTTTTTAGATCTATAGGAATAAATCTTTGTCAAAATCATTCAATAAATTGGGGTAACAATAATTATTCTACCTTAATGACCAACAGTGTATATCATATAATATTAATGATAATATAATATGAATAAAAAGAATAATAACAGTGACAACAATAATGTTAATGATAATGATATTTTGATAATAATAATATTAAAAGTGATAATAAAAATAAATACGATTGGTAGCTCTACCAGAGCAGCCTGGTATTGTTTCTTCTTTGTTTTCACCATTATTATAATAATTATTATTATTTCTTAAATATTACTATCATGATCATCATCATCGTCATCATCTTGATTTTGACTTGATTTGATTGTCCATACATCATCACTCATTAAGTTTAACATGTATTGTTTAATAAGAGTCAGGCTCGACTAGCGCCTGTGTTTTCTTTGACTCTTTTTTACCATCGATCACAAACTCGTTGTAAATAGCCATTTATTGTTTGACACTAAATTTACTTATAATAATAATAATAATTACTATTTCTTATATGGCGCTTTTTCAGGAAGGCCTTATTAAAGCGCTTTACAGAAGTAATATCATTACCCCGATCATCGGATTCAGGCTTACCCGCACACAATGTATGCACATTATCCACTCCCCTGGGAACATTCCAGCCAGGCGTCATTTTTACAAGCGCGCACTTGCTAATCGAAGCACATTAGCTTTTGCATCCTCCTGGGTACCCATTTAACACCTGGGTGGAGAGTGGCAAATGTAGATCTTTTTTAATTCATGTCATGTTTATGTTATATTGGCATTGTCATTGTAAATTTATATTTATTTTGTTTCAATGTTTTCAATGGTGGTGAATAAATAAATTCAAATCAATATTATCTCATAAAGTCGTACATAGAAAATAAGCACACCTGGAAAATGTCAAGTCTGTAGACACCCAAAACCCTGACAGCACTCCTGACTAAGATAGTTATTTTATAAGGTACAGTGACGTATGCTACAAAATAATAGATATATGTGTATGTACAAATACCGATGTTACAAATAGAGGTATTAATAGAAACAATTATAATGCTAAATATATTACTCATTGCGGATATAGTATCGAAAAAAATATCGCTAGTGATATTCGTTTGTCTCGCAATGTGGTCAATAATGAATCTAAGAGATCACGACGTTTCGTATGCTACTGCGATACTTCGCCAGGTGATAAAAACTATTGTAAGCAAGGGTCTTTTATACTTTACGGGAGGACCGGCGGAGCGGTCTATAATTCGATCGATAATTGGAACAATAACGCCCAATGCATATTTGGTCGACGCACACGGTGATCGACCAATCACCAAGGCCGCTGGTTCGGCCGCTGGTTCGGCTGATGCACCAGGCCTATTGGTCGACGCATACGGTGCTCCGCCGGTCCTCCCGTAAAGTATAAAAGACCCTTGCTTACAATAGTTTTTATCACCTGACGAAGCATCGCAGTAGCATACGAAACGTCGTGATCTTTTAGATTCCTTATTGACCACATTGCGAGACAAACGAATATCACTAGCGATATTATTTTCGAGAAACAATTATGTTTGTAATAAATAAAAAAGTTTAAGGGCTGGTCAGGCCCAACCTACAACGAAAACAAGATTTCTTTCTTCAGGCCTACCCTAAATACAACATTAAAGGGCAAACCTTCAATAGAAAACCCCGCTATCGCTATCATTCAAATATTTCGGTTTGCTCATATTGAAAGCAACACGGTGTTCAAAGGGTTCATATATTTTACATATATTGCCTGACATTAGCATTGTTATCAAACGCAAGATAATCTGCCATCGGATATATTAATATATTTTCTTTTTGTCATCGTTAAAATCACACAAAGGTCGATCTCGGTGAGGATACTCTGGTAACTGGTGTTATCACACAGGGACGGTCCATACTTATCCAAAGGATTACGTCATTCCAAATCTCCTACTCAAGTGACAATACAAATTGGACCTTTGCTCTGGAAGAGCAGTGTGGAGTACGCAAAGTGAGTTTCATTTTCGCGCTTTCAGAAAATGTTTTGTTCATCTTATTTTGTTTTTATTCATGGTCTTTTATTACTTATGTATTTGTCAAATTTCTGTATTGTTTTTGCATGCAATTATTTCCCCATATCTACATAATTATATCATTACATACAAAAGGATGAATTTCCTAGTATGCAAAATTAAAGGATTAAAACAAAACAATGTAAATAGTTCCAATAAAGCCAATTAGTTATGTGCCCGAATTGCGCTTCTCATGGAAGGGTTATACCAATGGATTCAAGGCAAGACATTAATCAACATTTGCCATCTTCCACTCAGGTGTTAATGGGTACCTGGAAGTTTCCAGGGGTTATATGAATTGCAGGGCCCTTGGGAATAGCAGCAGTGATAACGATAAGGCTTTCTTGGGTTAATACAAACATTTAGATTATTATCATTATTACTATTATTATTGTTTAAATTATTATTATAAGAAATTAACATTCTTAACTCTTAAGCTGCCCCCCATACAATTCACCCAGTGCCACAGTGCTAATCCCTGTTGTGCCAGCCACTAATCTCCTGTGTGCCAAGTTAATTTAGGGTAGGTTCAATTAGCGTGTGTACTAATGCACGAAAATGTGTCCGTGGCACGCGAGTGGATGAGATTTTATGTGTGCATGGCAAGCCACCAGAAACCTGATTATGTGAGCGTGGCACGCCAGCGCATGCACAGAACAGTGTTCTTGGCACGATATGAGTTAATAGTTTTCGTTCTCTTTCAGACATATGCAGGAAACTTTGATGCTGACACATATGTTACCATATTATTTCCTGAGCCAGTAACCGCACGGTACGTCACGCTTCATCCTTTAACATTTCATGCTTATGCGGCTATGAGATTCGAAGTACTTGGTATTAACAATTTGACCATAACGATTTATGATTAAATTAATTTGTTGTTTTATTTAATCAATTGTATTCATATTTATTTACGCATGTATTAATTTATCTATTAATACATATATATATATATATATATAAATTGATTATTTCATTTATTTATCGATTTATTCAATTATTGAAATACTTATTGTGCTATAGCATCTACATGAATGGGTGAGTCGATCAAAATTTAAAATGATTTGAGTAAAGCATTATAGTTTTGTTGTCAGAAGATTAAACGATCTTTGAAAACAAATAATCTACTATTCTGCTTTTTTAATGGAGGCTTTGAACCCGTGTTTCTACCTGGTGTTTACCCAATAATAACTGTATTTGAAAACCGAGAGTAGACTCCACTTTTACAATGGAGCAACAATTAAGTCTGAAATGATCAACAATATACGGCGAACTTCAATTAACCCTACTCGTATGGAAAGCTCATTATCTCTAATCTCCCTCACCCGAACGCTCTCCGGGAAACGAAGACAAGCTCGAGCAAGTTCCCAATGGGACATCAAGTTTCGCTGCTTGCGATATCGAGATTCCTACACACGATAACTAGTTATATCACCTCACCTACCATCCCAGTTTAGCTTCCTGAGTGAGCTGCCAAAGGGATTACTCAACAAAGTACCAAGTACCAAGTCTGGGGTAAGCGAATTAAGACGCACTGCACACTGATACTATATTGTGTATTTCTTTTAATTATCTATGATAAATTGTCTTATTTGGAATGAGTAATTGCTTGCATGTAGAGTAGGGGAACTCTCCAAGCAGAATTATGGGATCCCTGATGCCACGAAGGAGAGCTGGTTCATGCAGAGAAACCTAGAGGTACATCATCTAAAGGGACAAAGGTCAGATATTAACAGATGTCAAAGTCACCACCAAAGATGTTGAAATGCTACAGGTACTGTGGAAAACAACATGAAAAGATGCTCAGAAAATGCTCTGCAATTTGGTGAAGCGTGTGCTAAATGTGGGGAAAAGAACTACTTCTACATCGAGACTGTGCAAAACTAACTTCCCAGAGAAAGTTCATTAAGTTGATGTCAAAAGGATGGAATAAACGGAGTTAAACTTATTTGAGCTTGTGACATGGATATGAACTCCCCTCAATGAGAATGAACCCCTGAAAGCCAATGTATGATATGTAATGTACAAAAGCACGTTGCACTTATATTCGATTCTTAAGCACATGGAACGTGCTACCACGACAGTCAACCGGTACGTCACCCTCAAGCCCAGGAATGAAATATTCAACCGTGCTACTATGAAAAGGAAAGTCCACACTGATATTAACTTGGTTTTAATACAAGCAAATAATTTAGGAGAGCAGGTCAGTTTGAGGAAATTCCGATTAAAAATAACAAACTTCTGAATTGGTTTAGTTGCAATCAATCAAACACAAACTCTGTGATCGAAGTATTTTGCGAGCTCCCCTCCCGTTTGCTCTGTACTAAAAAAATATATACATTTTTTATTTTTCAACGACAAAATGTCCGATGAAAATATGCACCCAATATAGAGATTACTGCAAATATGTTTCTATTCAATTCCTGTATGGGAGAAATCTATTCCGTCGTCAGGAACGAAAAAAAATTAAAGTTCATGGAAATGAATGTCCGGAGACAATTTGTGTTTGATTGATCGCAACTTCCCAAATACATAGCTCTGACTTTCACAACTTTTCCTATCATTGTTGTGCTTTAAATCCAGTAAAACCATCTTATTATCAGCTGAGGGTGGATCTTCCTGTTAACACAGAATGTAAATGTTCGATGGAAGTGGTAAGATCTGAAAGTCAGCGAGGAATACATTTGCAGTAATAGAAAAAGCCTTTTTTTTTCCTGAATCATTCTGCAAAAATATTGATGTATGATTGACACATCTGACCCCCCCCCCCCCTCCCACTCGGTGTTATGTAGGGTATTCGTATGCACGTTCCCTGTTTTTTGAAAGCACCCTTGTGGTGTTTCGCGAGACGTCTACAGCTCTAGAGTGTCTTGAATTTTTAGAATGCAATGTAAATTTGTGTTTCATGTATATACTACTACTACTACTACTACTACTACAACTGTTGCTGCTACACTGTACTATTTCTACTACTATACTGTACTACAACTACTACTACCACTATTTATAATAATGTATTTATATAGCGCATTTTGTATAAACTGGTACATGTTCGAATGCGATTTACAATTACTCAATATGAAGGATACGTTACAGTCATTCTCTGCTAAATGTTTGAGATAATATTTTGTATTATAATCTGACCAACAGTAGTTTGTTTGCCAATTACGTCAGAAGGGTCATTTCAGGTCACATTAGTGACGAACGCAGTTGAATGTTTCGGAGGAAAAGATTTTATATTGAAATCAAAAGTTTTATTTTAGGTACGTATTGACAAAACAAGTGGAATTTCATGACTTTTTTAGAGTTCTTTTATCACATTCAAATGGAAAATTTACCTGTCACGGTTTCCATGTCTAGAGTTGAGACATCTTCCTCAGACGCGAATCGGCAGACTGAGATAAACCGCCAATTTCCGATCGCCAGTAGTTGTCGTGTTGGCGATTACTGCGTCGTATAGGCCTATGTCAGACAGCTGGTATGCATCCCCGTCAGTCATGGTTCATGTTCTCAGTCAAGCGTTTGATCCAGATAGCTTCCTGGATCCTACTGGCCCTATCTTGGTTTTCTCTCGCTACGAGGCGCGTGCCATCCCAGACTATAACGTGATTTTCTCAGGCCGCGTGATCTGTTACAGGTAAATTTTCCTTTATGTAATAAAAGAACTCTGAAACCATTATCACAACCATCCTGATGAAACTCTTATATTATGGACTTTCATGATTGTTTTTGTAGATTGATTAAATCTTTATTCATTTGAAATCTTCTGTAAATATAACGCGTTTGATTTGTAGAGGTGTCGAGGTCGGGTGGCTTTAAATCACCTTACTGGAAATACAAAGGTCGTTGGTTCGAACTCCGGCACGGCAGTTATGTCCTTGAGCAAGACATTGTATATACATTGCTCCTCTCCATCCATGTTTTAAATAAGTGACCGATAGGATACAAAGATAAAATGGCGACCAGCTTGATTGCTCCACAGGGAGTAGAGATTGTGCAAATTAATGTGCGGAATAGTAATTGAATCCAATGACCGGGGCAGTATTAATATTGTAAGCGATTTGAAACATTATAACTGGTAAAGCGCTTTAGAAAAAAACAGTTATTACTATTATGGTTATTTTTGATTGACATGTCATATAAAAATGCCATTATTTGTCCAATTATAAAGCAACGGAGATTATTATTATAGATGAGTATTTCTTTTCAATTTGTCTAAATGATTATGCCACTGCTTAAGTCTATTGCATTGTTTACTAGCCCCTTATACCGACAGTACTGCACTTGACCAATAACCACCACCATTCATTTCAAAGTGCATTGGTTAGAGTAAGCACTTTCTGCTCAGCGCATGTTTAAATACAGATGCTATGTTTTAAAACAACTGACAATGTTATGTTGACATTACAGGAATTTCACCTATACATGAATGTATAAGTTAATATGGTAGGTTTGATGGGAACTACAGAATTGAAAATGATTGTATGAGTAAAGGACAATTAATTCAACTTGGTTATTAGACATGTTTTGTTTTTTTAAAGTGGAAGATGTAAGAGGTGTAGCGCCACCTCGTGCCGGAGACAGGAAGGGATATATATGATGTGTTCAAATTTAATTGTTATTTTTATCTTTTTTAATAGATGTGGATTAAACTAAATTGAATTGAATCAAATCATCTTTAATGTATTACCTGTATAACATAAAGGCTTGCTCAGACAGATAATGTATGATGTGTTCAAATTTAATCGCTATTTCTATCTGATTCAATAGATGTGGATTAAACTAAATTGAATAGAATTGAATCATCTTTATTGTACCTGTATAAATATAATGGCTTGCTCAGACACAGATAATGTATGATGTGTTCAAATTCACTGAATTGCTATTTTTATCTTTTTTACTAGATGTGGATTACACTAAATTGAATTGAATTGAATCTTCTTTATTGTATTACCTGTATAACATAATAGCATGTTCAGACACAGATAATGTAAGATCTGTTAACATTTAATTGCTATTTTTATCTTTTTTCAATAGATGTGGATTAAACTAAATTGAATTGAATTGAAACTTCTTTATTGTATTACCTCAACATAACGGCTTGTTCAGACACAGATACTGTATGATGTGTTCACATTTAATTGCTATTTTTATCTTTTTTCAATAGATTTGGATTAAACTAAATTGAATTGAATTAAATCATTTTTATTGTATTACCTGAATAACACAATGGCTTGCTCAGACACATACAATGTATGATGTGCTCAAATTTAATTGTTATTTTTATCTTATTTATTAGATGTGGATTAAACTAAATTGAATTAAATTAAATCATCTTCATTGTATTACCTGTATAACATAAAGGCTTGTTCAGACACAGATAATGTATGATGTGTTAACATTTAATTGCTATTTTTTATCTTTACTGATAGATGTGAAATTAAACTAAATTGAATTGAATTAAATCATCTTAATTGCATTACCTGTTAAACATAATGGCTTGTTCAGACACAAACAATGTATGATGTGCTCAAATGTAATTGCTATTTTAATCTTTTTTATTAGATGTGAAATTAAACTAAATTGAATTGAATTAAATCATCTTAATTGCATTACCTGTATAACGTAATGGCATGTTTAGACACAGATAATGTAAGATCTGTTAACATTTAATTGCTATTTTTATCTTTACTGATAGATATGAAATTAAACTAAATTGAATTGAATTAAATCATCTTAATTGCATTACCTGTATAACGTAATGGCATGTTTAGACACAGATAATGTAAGATATGTTAACATTTAATTGCTATTTTTATCTTTACTGATAGATATGAAATTAAACTAAATTGAATTGAATTAAATCATCTTAATTGCATTACCTGTATAACGTAATGGCATGTTTAGACACAGATAATGTAAGATCTGTTAACATTTAATTGCTATTTTTATCTTTACTGATAGATGTGAAATTAAACTAAATTGAATTGAATTAAATCATCTTAATTGCATTACCTGTATAACATAATGGCATGTTTAGACACAGATAATGTATGATCTGTTAACATTTAATTGTTATTTTTATCTTTTCTAATAGATGTGAATTAAACTAAATTGAATTGAATTAAATCATCTTTATTGTATTACCTGTATAACATAATAGCATGTTCAGACACAGATAATGTAAGATCTGTTAACATTTAATTGTTATTTTCATCTTTTCTAATAGATGTGAATTAAACTAAATTGAATTGCATTGAATCATCTTTATTGTATTACCTGTATATGTATAAAGGTGAAATTAACATTACCATCTTTTTTAAACCTATTCTTTGGGAGCTGGAGACCCAACTTGCACCAAATTATTCCAAGTAGCTGCCGTTTTCTAAGGTTGCACAATATAATCTACAGGAGTGCTGTTACCTTTGCTGTCCGAGGTTCGAAGCCGCCAATAGGGGGGTAGTGGGCACTTTTTCCTCCTTTTTGGCGGACGGGGGGGGGGGGGGGCGTCTTCTCTTCTTTTTTGAAAAGGTGAAATTAACATTACCATCTTTTTTAAACCTATTCTTTGGGAGCTGGAGACCCAACTTGCACCAAATTATTCCAAGTAGCTGCCGTTTTCTAAGGTTGCACAATATAATCTACAGGAGTGCTGTTACCTTTGCTGTCCGAGGTTCGAAGCCGCCAATATCATTGGAAAGCTTGAGTAATGATTTTGCTCACCAAGAAATATCGTTTTATTGTCTGCTTTTCATTTGAACTAACAAGGGGAAAGTCGAAAAGATGATATTATATGAATACAAAAGCCTAATGTCAATAGATGTGCTTACATTGTATAATAGCAGTTTTAATTTATGAAAAATATTACAAATTTTCAATCCTAAAACCTGCAATTTTGACACTTTTCTGACTACTTCCGGCTCACAACAATAAAAAGCGAATTTTGCTCTATTTCCTTTCGTTTGCCTCCTGTAAAGGTACGCGAGTGGTAGCGAAAGGTAATTGTCATTACAAAAGCATATTTTCCTTTAAAAGTGGCCCGTTAGTTTGCAGGAATTGTTTGTCTACGTATCTGCAAGAAAGATCTATGTAGGCACATGCCTGGCATATTTTATCCTGGCGGCATCGAAGATGGTACAAAGGGAATGAGCTAGACATGACTCCATCTCTTAAAACTTCTTGGGGGGGTGGGGGGGCACTCGGTGGTCAAAACACATGCTTATTCCCATTTCTTTCAGATACGTTTTAGTATAGGGTCATGAATTTGGTCCAAATGAATAAATTGGAAGCACTTGCGATTTTACAATATTCAATGTTCGTTGTCGATATTGAAATTGAGTCTGAAGTGATGAAATAGTAAATAATAAACACGTTATGTTGTACAGCTCCCTCTCAAGACTGATATTACACTAGCTTTAAAACAATGGTTCTTGACTACAATCGACCCATTTACTACTTCTGTGTGGAAATTACATATCATAACTATTCTGAGATTTTAATGGTCGCAGCTACCATAAATTGACCGTCGGCGCTATATAAAATGTTTGGAATTTACCAGGAGAACAGGCAAATTTCATTAATTTAATGTCTCGAAAGCTGAAGTTATTTTAGGGGCTAAATTTTCTAGTGCTAATAATACATTCACAGGGGCATCTAAATATATCAAATGTTAAAGAATAACTATCCAGCCAATTTTCAAATATCCCAAAACTTTGCATTTCCTATAAGGTAAAAACACATTTTTAGAGATTGTCTCATAAAAATAATTTCTACTCGTGTTAAAATATCTGACCCGCCTATTTTTCCTACTCCCATCCATTCCTTTAATTTAACCCTCTTTAATTCTACGATTCCGATTTCCTTCTTTTTTTCTCCATGACTATCCAGCCAATTGAAATTTCCAAAAACTTTGCATTTCCTTTAAGGTAAAAACACATTTTTAGAGATTGTCTCATACAGATAATTTCTACTCCTGTTCAAATATCTGACCCGCCTATTGTTCTCATTCCCATCCCGTTCTGTAATTTGAACCTCTTTAAATTCTACGATTTCGTTTTCTTGTCTCCGATACTTCTTTTTCTCTCGATGTCTGTGCTTTACCCTCATGCCTGTAACCCACCCTCCTCCCTCCCCACATTCCCCCTCCCTCTCCCGCCTCCTCTCCCTTTCTACCTCTGCACCTTTCTCTCTCCCTCATGCTCTCTCCATTCACCCCATTCTCTCTCTCTCTCTCTCTCTCTCTCTATATCTATATATACATATATACATACCCTCCCTCCCACTCTCTCTCTCTCTCTCTCTCTCTCCTTCTCCCTTGTTCTTCTAACCTTGTTTTTCTCTCTCATACTCTCTCTCTCTCTCTCTCTCTCTCATACTCCCTCTCTCTCTCTCTCTCGTACTCTCTCTCTCTCTCCCATACTCTCTCTCTCTCTCTCTCTCTCACATACTCTCTCTCTCTCTCGCTCTCTCTCTCTCTCTCTCTCTCATACTCTCTCTCTCTCTGATGCTGTCTCTTGTAGCGTCCTGATAGTGATCCATGAAGATACTTCTTACAACAATACTCAGAACACAATCATTGCATAATTCTACATTATATCCATTTATTTCAAGCTATCCAAACATTCTTTGATCCAGATAGAACCACTGATGCCATGATGTGACGTCACATTTCATACTGCGCAGTAATTGGTCAAATCAGCTTCTAGTCTTCTCCCGTGTCGTATTTGTGCATCCCTAAACAGTCGATGGTCGGGTTTGTTGGCAGTGAGATTCAGCGAGTTAGTCTAGATTCCATTACCGGTTCCTTGGCCTATAGAAAAACGGACAAACATAATGACATGTAAGATGCGATGAACAAGATATGACCAATTAAACCCCTTAACAACAATAACCATGAAGAGAAAGCAAGCAAGAGAGAACAGGAAGGAACGGAGGAACAAAGGAAGGACTGAAGAGAGAAAGAAGAAGAAAACAAGAGAGGGAGGGAGAACGAAAGAAAACAAAACAAAGAGAGGCTTAGACTAATTACTGCGCAGTATTAAGTGTGACGTCACACATTTCATTAGTGGTTCCATCTGGATCAAAGAATGTTTGAATAGCTTGAAATAAATGGATGTATGTAGAATTATGCAAGAATTAAATGAGTGTTCTGAGTATTGTTGTAAGAAGTATTTGCATGGATCAATATCGGGACGCTACAAGAAAGAGTATGAGAGAAAGAAACGATGTTAAAAGAACATGGAAGAAAGAGAGAGAGAGACGGAAAGAGAAAAAGAAAAAGGAAAGGGATATCTTGATAGCCTACACATAAAAGTGATTGAGGTGAACAAAAAGAAAAGAAAAGAAAACTAGACTTTAGATCGTCGTTGAGAAGAATAACAGGATCCGTTATTTAATTTGAAGTCGTTCCTCCCTTTTGAAAAATGTGAACATGAGTCCGCATTGCAGCAAAGCTTTTCTGAGACGGTTCATGCTGAGACTAATACTTGGACAGAGTTCCATATATCCTAATTCTTCTGGAAATTGAGATTGACTTCATTTTGTGTGACTTAAAGGGATAGTTGAGTTCTGTTGCAGAGGGCGCTACACAAAATAGTTTTTCGTGAGATAATATAAAACTGAGTGTCAAATTTGAAAAAAAATCATACAATTGAAGTGACAAAATCATCTTTGTTTGATCAAAATCGGTTCAGAGACGGCTGACATATCCATAAATATAACGACTTCTTATACTTGTGTACCACCACAAATATTAGATAATTTGAAAAAACGTTGAAAAACGAAATAGTGCCTTTTACGTCGTATTTCAGCCAATGCCGATGTTGGCTTTTTTTTGTTGGTATTTTCGTGTTGGTTATATTACGCACACCCAGAGGCCCATGTATCGTTATTTTTAATTAAATAATTAATTAAAGGTCACCGTATCTGTTTGAAAGTGGAGCTGAATTAATTTGATCGTATTGGCTAAATTTCAAACATTTTGGGGTCTAAAATTACCTTCATAGCAATATTAGGTCCTAAAAGGGCACTAGAAATGGCACAGATAAGAATAAGAGCAATAACCGTGCACTTTGAAGGCATTTGCGATCTGAAACAGAACTCAACTGTCCCTTTAAGAATCTGTGGTGATCAATAAAAGTAGATTTGGTGTTCCCGCACATGGTGTCTCGCCTTTGATATCAGCTAGTTGTTTTGGATTGATGAAGGATAAAATTCAGGTGATATTAGATACATAGATAGAAATGGTTTATTAAAAGATCATCGCAGCCAACGGCTGAATTGCGATCCATTTCACAAATATACAATACAATTGCAATTAAAATTCAAATAACGCAAAATATGACATATATAACAAATCAAACATACAAACATTTCATAAAAATTCTTTGATAAAACTTTTACACAGTTTTAAAAAGAAAGAGAAATGGACAGGTGTAAGAGAGGGAGAGTAAGAGTGACGAGAAAGAGAGAGAGAATGGGGACGAAAGATAGAGAGCACTAGAGAGAGACAGAGAGACAGAGAGCGAGAAAGACAGAAAGAGAAATGAAGGGGAAAGACAGACAAAGGGGGTCCATTATATTACAGATGAGGGGAGATGGCAGGAATAATTTAGAAATGCAGAAAATCGAGATGAAAACGATCAAAAGTCATTCAAATAGTGCATTCATCTACTGTGAAATTATGAAAATACATTTCATATCAGTATTATATTTCTTAAGAAGATGTATAAGGTATGAAAGGGAGCTGCACTGGAAGCGTTATGTTTTACAGTGGTATTGTTTAAACGTTGATTGAGATCTTGAAGAATAAGTACTTTGTTGTCTAAGAGGTAAACATTATTTAAACTGTGGGTGTTTGGCAAGAGCATTGACAACGTATATGCATAACTGGTCATGTCTTGAGTCTAGTTAACGTAGACTGCACGTTTCCAATGCTGTTTCATAACTTTCATACTGACGTCTTAAAGTGATTTTACAAGCTCGTTTCTAAATACGTGTTTAAGTAGATACGAGAGTTTTTGTTAAATTACCATTGAAAACCGGTACCCCATAATCTGAGATCGAACATAATCCTTTATATATCAGTAAAAAGGTCATCTAGAGGCATTCTATACTTCTTAAGGCAACGAAACATAAACAACTTCCTACTACACGTTTTGATCAGATCGGATACATGACTATATTCCACTCTAGGTTTGATTGTAAAATTATTCCCAGGACTTTGGCAGCAGATTTTGCAACAGATTACAAATGATG